TTTCGATATTCGAGATCCTGGAGGTGAAATGAAGCCGACTTAAGTGTGTTTCCTCAAATACAAAACCGCTTCAGCTTCCTTTGAACTTGGTGTGTGAGAGTTATTTGAGTAGTCTCCGGAAGTATGTGCATTTAGGTAGTTCAGGTAAATCTGCAACGTGCTGAAGGCAGTGTAGTGTTGAGAGGGAGTGTGTTTGTACACGCTGGAAAAGCGTAGCATCTGCCCTCTCTGCAGTGTGGAGTGGGCTGTAGTGGGTTATGTGGTTACGACGAAACTATAACAGAAGGCACGGCGAGTTTCCTTCTCGTCGTGCCTTGCGTTGTAGCTTCCGTTTCACGTAGGGGTCGATTTCGTCTGGCCATTGAAAAGGGGTACTCGAATCGTCGGTGGCGTGCGTAGACGAGTGGGCGGCCTTGCAACACCGGCGCACAATGCAAATATTTGCCTTTTGGCGCCGGTGCACCCCATGACTCCAGCAACATGTTATGTTCCTCTTTATTTATATTTGATGTCTGCCAAAAAGGTGTGCCTGTACTTGATTTTTTTTTTCTTTTGTAAGTGCATCTTTTTTGTCTTTTGTTAGTTGTTATCTTTCAACATTTAAAGCCAGCAATAAAAAATTGATTTCTGAATCACCCCTGCATCATGTCATCTCTCTAGTTCATTTCCACCCCGGACCTGTTGCCTGCAAATCAGTCAATTTTTTTTTAGAAAATTGGTTGTGGTCTTTGCCCCTTTTATGAACAAACTGGCGGACACTTTTTGTAGCAGGTATAGCCCAAAGTAGATCGACAGAGTACTGGCTGATTCCCCACAGGGTAAGGTGCTATTTTACTGTTTTCGTTGGACCTACGCTGCCCAATCGGGTCTTTACCAAACACAGAATTCGTTTTATTGGCCGACTTTCATGAAATGAACGACACGCTGGACGTGCAAAACACATTCTGTACTTCCTCAGTGTAGGTCAGCACGAACAAGCTAACGTAAATATTAAGCTTTTTTTTTATTCAAAACAATATTAGCGATTGCGAACATGACAAAAACACTGAAGATAAAGGAAACAATATAAATAAAAAAAAAACAAAAAAAAAAAAAAAAAGCCAAAACAATCATGTTGGTGAAATAATCGCAAACTATGCACAAAACCAAATTGTCACAAGATTTCTATGACAAATGTCACGCGTGGCACGTGTGACATTTGCGTAGGGGACTCATTGAATAGTAGAAAGACCCTTTCTTGAAATCTGTTTGGGGATCTGACACGAAGGTCTGTCCAGAAACAGAGAATCGCTGATCGGCACTTTGTAATTAAAGCCATTTTACACGCGTGTCGCTCGCGTAGCACGCGTCCAGCGCGTTTACATATCAATTAGTTATTTTCACTATACGTAAAAATGTGAAGCTCGATTTTTATCAAATGGCTTTAATAACAAGGTTCTGTTCAGCGTTTCTCAGTTTCTAGACAGACCTTCGCAACAGATTTGAAGAAAAGATCTTTCTTCTATGCCACGAGTCCCTTACGCAAAGTGATCGAACAGAAGCGTCAATTGTTATCGCCTGCAATTTTACAAAGGAAGCAACCACAACCCTCTCGGGGTACGCAAACGCCAGTTCGTTTTAATGCCGTACTGAAGCTTACATCCCCCGGCGAAAAATATTCACATGGAAGAAGCACATCCGCCGCCCCATCCCCGCAGCGAATTTCGAAGACGACGACGTAGGTGACGCATTTTTCGTATTTTTGATTCCCACGTTGCTATGACCACCGTGACGTCTTTCACGAGCCGCGTTTGATTGGCTGTCCGTCCCCTTCGCAAGAGCGGCCGTTCGCAAGGAAAGATTGGCAAAATACGGAGTTGCGAATTAGTCGAATTCGCACCGCAACTGCGTTGTGCCGCAAGAACGGCGTCGCAATTGCGAAATCGCAGGCAAATTCGCACCATGTGAATCAGGCATTACGCGGCGACAAAGAAGCATTTCGGTCAGTGGCGTTGCGTGCGACATTACTTGGGTCCCAGTAGTGCCAGTAAGCTTGCATAAAGTGAAAAAAACATTCCAGCTCCCCCCCCCCCCCCCCCCCCCAATCCCCTTAAAAAAAGAAAATTAATGAGTTTTACGCGGATTCCAGCATGAGAGGCATAGCGAGTCTTATCGGCACCGACATCAGAATGGCCGCCCTCGGCATGCTCTGGCTTCTGCGACGTGCCATGATCGTTCTAACGGCAGCTCTTGCCCCGAATCCTGTTCTCTTCCGACAATATTTGCTGCTACGACTTTCAAGATACCTCCCCGATCTTTCACAGTAGTAAGTGCTTCGCTGGCGCTGGCCGTGGACGGTGCCATCTTTAGCTCAATTGGGGCGAAACCCCCTCAGTTAGCGGCTCAATGACAGCTGGCGCCGCCATGTAACTCCGGCCGATCGCGTCTGAGTCAAGTGTCGTGTGCTTAACGACAGTTAAGGGCGCTAGTGTAGCTAGGGTATCAGACACTACAGAATTCGCCATACTATTGGAGAGGGACTGAATTTAATTTACACAATCCTAACGAGCTTTTTTTATGCCCAAGGCCGGAGGCTTCGGTTAACTTAGATACTCTCCGCAATGGCAGTACACAAAAAAAATTATTCCACTGAAAACCCTGCAGTTTACAAATCATCATCTAGAAATTTTGGCATACGAATAGCGGTAGAGGATATAAGAGAGAGAGTAGCATGGCATATTGTTCAATGCACTGTGCGTAACATTTCGGGGCTATGGCCGTATTTGTAATTAGGGTCATTCTCCCGAAGGCTTCATCTTTGAGTTCAAGAAACGAATATCTTGCGACGTTGATTCAATTTTTTAATATTTTGTCGATTATTGGGTGAATCATTTGTAATCTTGATAGAAAACATGGCCGAGCTCCCAGACGTTCATTTCTTTTTTTTTATATTTAACATATTGTAGAATGTACCCTACTAAAAATGAATAATGGCTGTCTTAAAAATTTTTTTCTCGCGCTTATCGCAACA